TCTTTTTTGCCAAGAATAAAATTATAAAAGTTGTAAATTCCAGGCTTCATTATATTTCACCCTTGAAAACTTCCCTGATATCAGGGCTTCCCTGATAGCTTAGTTGGTAAAGAATCTGCCTGTGATGCAGGAGCCCGCGGTTCGATTCCTGGGTCAGAGAGAAGGGATAGGCTACCCACTCCAGTATTCTTGGGCTTCTCTTGTGGCTCAGCTGGTAAAGAATCCACCTGCAATGAGGGAGACCTCGGTTCGGTCACTGGGTTGGGAAGATCCCCTGGAGAAGGGAGGGAAAGGCTACCCACTCCAGTATTCTGGCCTGGAGAATTCCATGGACTTGGAAAGAGTCGGACACAACTGAGCGACTTTCACTTCACTTCCCTTGAAAACTTCAGCATGCATCTCCTTAAAATGATCTTTTTCTCTGTAATCATGATACCATTACATTAATGCCTTAATGTAGTCTAAGATTCTGGCCATAGTCAAATTTTCCCCATTATCCTAAGACAAGTCTCTCATAGCCCGTTCAAGCCAGGATCTAATCCTATGCATTCATTGCATTTGATTGAACTCTCCCTAGACAACCCCTTCCTTTTCCTTCTGCCCTGACATGGACAAAGAGACCAGACCAGTTTTCCTGTAGAACGTCTGTTTTATTTTATTTATTCTTAAAATATTTATTTATTTGGCTGCACTAGCTCTTAGTAGTGGGTACATGGCATCTTCGATCTGCCTTGAGGCATTCGGGATCTTTTTTAGTTGTGGCATGTGGAATATTTAGTTGAAGCATATGAAATCTTTAGTTGCAGCATGTGAACTCTTAGTTGTGGCATGTGGGATCTAGTTTCCTGACCAGGGATTGAACTCAGGCCCCCTGCATTGGGAATTGGAAGTTTCAGCCACTGGACCACCAGAGACATCCCAGAATGTCTGTTTTAGATTTAAATGTTGGCTTCCTGTGGTGATGTTCCTGTGTTCCTCTAACCCTGGTGTTACCTGGGACTGGTGAGTCTGAAAGATTTCCAGAAGTAGGGTCACCAGGACTCTGAGACAGATGAGACAAGAGAAGCAGGAAATCAAGGGTGACTCTAGGTCTCTGCTTGAGCACCAGAGGTGATGCTGAGATGGGGAGAAGGAGGAAGATGAACTCAGTTTGTGTATCTTTTCAGTGTATCAAGGACATCCCCCGGCAGTTGGATTGCTCAACCTGGAAATACAGTTGCAAGTTGTTACCCTAACAAAGTGGGTTGAACTTTCCCGGTACAGTCGGGTGAGAGGCAGAGATGAGATAGCAAGCACCCAGGAGACGGGCAGAGGAAGGAAGCAGACCAAGAGGCCATAGCCTGAGGCATCCAGCAGTGGGAGGATGATAAAGACTACCTACGAGATGAGCCAGGCCAGACCAGGACCAAACTTGCCCTTGAGGTTGTGGGAGACCTGAGACCTTGAGGAGGTCTGAGATAGCAGATGGCGAGATGCTAGGTGAACAGACTCCTTGGAGAAGTTGGCTCTGAACAGAAGGAGGGGAGGGCTGGTTCCAGGGTTGTAGCCACGCATTCCAGCAAACAAACTCACTCAGAAGGACAATGCAGATGGTGAAGTGCAGTTTGTTACCCCGGAGGGCCCAAGGCAGAGTCTCTTCTTAGCCAAGGACCCCAACCAGTTTTTGTGAAAACCTTATATACCCTAAGTATATCTGCCCAAACCCACCTCTCCAAACTCCCTGAACCTAGTGTGAACAAAGGAAAAAGAAAGATACAATCAAAGTTAACCTGTGATTCGTATGCCTTAAGCCTAGGTAGTTAACAGTGGACAATTATCAATAGGCCTGTGGTCATACCCCAATAAGCATAATAGAATGTATGATTCTATTCGATTACATGGATAATTAGGGTATTCTTTTAGGGATGGAGAGCCCTGGGGCTCTTCCTTCCGGGGGCCTGGTTTTCCAGTTGGTATGTGGTTTTCATAGGTACTGGGCAAACTGCAGAGACTGTGGCTCAAAGTCCACAGTCGGGCCCAAGATGGAATCCTGCTTTCAAGATAGAGCCTGTTCTGTTTCCTCCTTCACCAGGGGCACACTTTTTTTTTTTCCAAGGTGGAGAGACCTTGAGTTTGTTGAAATGCCAAGGGGACAGAGGCAGTCAGGTGGATGGGACTGGAGATTTGAGATGAGGCAGCTCCTGAGCAGATGAGAATCACTTGGGTTCCCAGGGCTCAGGTTGGGGAGGTTGGCTTGGACAGGCGGACCCTGAGCCCCCATCAGGGGAGGGAGAAGGAAAGGTGAGCACAGGTGCAGATTGGCTGAAGGGGGCGGCAGAAGATGACCACCCTGCCACATTGTCCCACCTCCTGAGGTTGGCTCAGGAGGGTCCTTGACAGACCATTTCTTTTAACTAATCAATTGTTTTGGCTGCACTGGGTCTTCATTGCTGTGTGCAAGCTTGCTCTAGTTGTGGTGACTGGGGTCCACTCTCTAATGCCCGTGCTCTGGCTTCTCTTTGCGGTGGCTTCTCTTGCAGGCCACAGTAGTTGTGGCACATGGGCTTAGTTGCCCCGCGGCACATGGAATCTTCCCAGACCAGGGATCGAGCCCATGTCCTCTGCACGGGCAGGTGGGTTCTTAACCGCTGGACCACCAGGGAAGTCCGATAGACGACTTCTGATTCCTCCCAGCCCAGCAGCAGGAAACCTCCTGGGTGTCTGCCAGCATTACTAAGAGCCCAGGGGATGGTGAGTGGTGAAGGGGCTCCACCCCAGGCCTCACCCAGGAGGAGCAGGCCAACCAGACAGCTTCTCGAGGTCACCAAGAGGCTAGGGGCAGAGTCCAAAACCAAGGGCACTCAATCAAAACCCAAAGCAAAGAAAAGCAGAACTGTAACCCTGCTCTCTTCCCCACAACTGCAAGCGGGTGTGGGAGCTGGGGCATCAGCTCGGCTCCTTCACACCAGCCAACCCTGTGAGAGAGGAGAGGATGACAACCCATTGGATAAAGAGACTGAGGCCCAGAGATCCCAGGGGTCCAGAGATCCCAGGGGTCTCCCAGGGAAAAACTGAGGCAGAGTCTACACAAGACACCAGGTTTCTGGACTCCAGCTCTATTCTTTTTTCCTTTTAATTGAATGGAGCTTCTGCCCCAATTCCAGGAGAAGAACCTCACCCCAGGTCATTTACGTTTGGAATCTCATCACTCTAGATGCTTCTGGAGGGGCGGGGCCAGGGGTGGCTAGCTGTAGTCTAAGGTTTGAGAACCCCTGCCGGCTGACCCCCAGCCTCCCCACCCCACGTTGGTGAAAGCGTGGCTCTGGGTTAGGGGTGGGTATGGAGTGAGACCTGGACTCTGTCCTGGAGAAGGCGTGCTCAGAGGAGGGGCAGACGCCAGACCTGGGGCGGTTCTGTATACGGCTAAGTCCCTGGGGGCAAAGATCACCATTCATTTCCCCACCACCACCCACCCACCCAGCTGGATGGCAGAAAGCAGGCTCTCAGGCCCAGAGTCAGCCCAGGAGGTCCTGTCCCGCCTCCTCCATCCAGCCCCTCTGGCCAGTCCCTGGGCTAAGTCACTGGTCTGCAGACATTTCTCTTGCCTCTGGCCCCAGAGACTGGAAGGGATTTTCCGGTTGCACCTGCTCCTGGCCCGACACTTCAGTGAGGGTTTTGGGAAGATGGGTGAGATGCTGCTGGTGTGGCTCTGGGTTAGGGGTGGGTATGGAGTGAGACCTGGACTCTGTCCTGGAGAAGGCGTGCTCAGAGGAGGGGCAGACGCCAGACCTGGGGCGGTTCTGTATGCCAGACCTGGGGCGGTTCTGTATACGGCTAAGTCCCTGGGGGCAAAGATCACCATTCATTTCCCCACCACCACCCACCCACCCAGCTGGATGGCAGAAAGCAGGCTCTCAGGCCCAGAGTCAGCCCAGGAGGTCCTGTCCCGCCTCCTCCATCCAGCCCCTCTGGCCAGTCCCTGGGCTAAGTCACTGGTCTGCAGACATTTCTCTTGCCTCTGGCCCCAGAGACTGGAAGGGATTTTCCGGTTGCACCTGCTCCTGGCCCGACACTTCAGTGAGGGTTTTGGGAAGATGGGTGAGATGCTGCTGGTTTCTTCTGGTCCCTCCCCCAGCATGTGCCTCTGGAGGCAGGAGGGTGTGGTGAGCAAGGAGGACCCCGGGGAGTCCCGGGGGAGCCGCGGTGGTCACCACCTCCTCTCACTGGGGGAGGGGCAGCCTCCTCCGTAACCCAGACCGGCTGGATCTATGTGGGGTTGGCTCCATCCCTGGAGTGTGGGGCCAGAGCCCAGGGGGAGAGCCCAGGTGTGGGAGCCAGGCCTCTTACAGAGGAGGGGCAGCGGGCGGGGTGCCGGCTGCCTTTCCTGTGGTCCCAGCTTCCTCCCACCACTCACTCCTGGCGTCTGCCTCGGGGAGACCCTGTCGCTCCTGGTTCCTGCCGCAAGCAGACCCTGCTGCCCAGTTGCACCTGTAGGACAGTGCCAAGGGCCTGGGCTCCCAGCCCTGTCCTCCTGTCTCCCTTCCCCACACCAGCTCCTCCCTAGTTGCTCTGTTGCCCTGGAATTTACAGTGGCTCTTCCCATCTGTCTCCCGGCTTGACTGCACCTCTCTAGGTGGCTGTGTGTGTGTGTGTGTGTGTGTGTGTGTGTCCCCTGGCCCTCCAGGTGGAGACAAAGTGACGTGCCATACGTGTAACAAGTGTGAGGACTCCAGGTCTCTCGGGGGGGGGATGAGTGTGTTCCTGGGCTGCTGGCTTCTAGGTTGGGGCACAGGCGATGGTAGAGAGGCGGTACTGGAACTCTGAGGGCAGAGTAGGGCACAGGCCCCAGACTTGCTCTGGATGGGGTCTCCCCAAGTGTCCTACACCCTGAATCCATGCCAGGCCTGGCTCTACTTGGGAGTCCCCGTGCTGAGCCCACAGTGGGTGCAGGGGAGGAGAGCCTGGGGGATGTGGGCCGGGGAGGAAGGAGAGTCAGGGCTCAGGGCTAGAGGATGACTGATATGGGAGATGAGGGCCCTGGGATCCCGGTGAAAGGGTGAAGGTCAGAGCTTCCTGTTTAGCCTCTGCCAGAGCGCCTTTGGGCTGGCGGGTGGTGGGCACTTGGGGCTGAGGAGGAAGCACCTCTGAGGGGGTTAATGAAGACAAGATGGACCTGAGGGCTTGGAGGACAGACCACAGTTTCTCACCCAGGACAGGCTGTGTCCTCTGTGAGCACCCACCTGCTGAGGGGTGAAGAGACAAGAGGCTAGAAGGAAGCTCTCAGGGTAGGACGGGAGAGCTAGTCCATGCCCCCTTTCTCTGGTCCATGGAGAGTGGGGACGGGGCCTGGGCATACTTGTGCGTGTGTGTGGGCACGCCCACAGAGGTGGACACATGGGTCTGGGTGACCAAGGTTGCAGGAGGCAGACCCAGGCGGTCAGGCGGGTAGACGGCGGTGTGGTCAGAACCCCTCCGGTCCTCCACGTGGCTGGAGGGATCTGGACCCAGCTCCCTCTGAGACCACATCTGCCCAAACCCCTTCCTCTTTGAGATATTCCTCCCCACCTCCACATATAAACTTCCTCTTTTCCATCACATCCTCCCTGGGCCTTAGGGGAGTCGATGGCCACTCATTGTCCAGTCTCCTGCAGCCCAGGCTCCAGCTGCCCCCTCCGGCAGCCCCCATCTGTGCAGCCCACCCTTCCCCCACCCGCAGGCCTAATGCCATCCTCCATGAAGCCTGCGCCATGGCTGTGTCTGGGCCTGGGATTCAGAACTCACTGGTAATCAGAGCACCGAGTGGGGTGGTCCGTGGTTTCCCTGGACATAAAAATACCCCTGACCGGAGGCACCCCCACCCTGTCTCAGGCAGCCTCCGTCTCAGGCAACACTTCCGCAGCCCTGACAGGAAATGGGCTGGAGGCTCAGCCTCCCGCCATCTCAAGGCAACTTCTTGTTTCCCTGTTGCCTGTGCCAGTCTTGGGGTTGTACCCCTTAACTCCACCCCCAGAGCCTTCCCAGGGCTGCATCCCAGCAGCTCAGAGGGAACAGGATGGTGGACATCATCGCCAAACTGACCAAGAGGAAGAGTCGGGAGCTGTGGGGACAGGTAGGGGACCCTGGCACCGGGGGTGAGCTCAGCCTCTGATGGGGATGGCAGAGGGGCCTGTGGGGCCCAGGGGCTGCCGGTCGGGCCTCCGTCCTCTGGCTCCGTTAGGAGCTCAGGGAGCAGAGTCAGGAACTGGGAGCCTCACGGAGGTTGGGACTCCTCCCTTCTTTCCTCTTTCCTTCTCCCCGGGGGTGCCATAGGGATGCTGAGAGGCGGTGATCCGCCAGGGGATGGTGGACAGTGGGGAGGGGGGGCGGAGAAAGGGGCAAGCCTGTCACCTGCTTGTGGGCAAAGGAAAGAGACTGGTGATGAGAACGGCTGGGGGGCTGGGGGACCTGGGCAGCTGGGTGTGGTGACAGCCGGGCCCCTCTTGGCTCTGTTCTCGGTTCTGAGGTGGGAGACCACTTTTTCGTTCCCCTTCAGTGTCCCCTGTGTCTCTCACCTGCCTGCCGTGTGGACCCTCAGAGCCCCTGGTGCCCCAGGCAGGGGTGTCTGTGTGGGGACGGGCTGTGTCCGCATCTGGCCTGCGCCTCCAGGAGTTGGGGGCAGGGAGGCAGCCCCACTCCAGTCTGGCCGAGCTCCCCCTGGAAGGCCTGAGGGCCTGGAGAGCCTGGTTCCGCCTGGCTTCCAAGAGCCAGTCTGCACCTGGCTGCGGCTGCGCCGGGAGAGGAAGGCACCTCTGTTTTATTAGCAGCACTGTGGGGGCTGTACAGAGAGTTCTAGAGTTGGAAGGGGCCTCGGGGCTAATCAGCCCAGCTCTTTCTGCAGGGCTGCGGCAACCCTAGCAGGGACTGGACTCCACTTGCCTACCTCGCAAGAAGGCCCCTCACAACCTGCCCAGGCAGCCTGTGTCTCTGGGGCAGCGCCAATCCTTAGACTGCGCTTCCCTCTAAGGGGCATTGCCCGACCCCCGTTTGGCCTCAGATTGCAGTCTGGAGCCCCACGGTGTAATTCTGTGTCTTCTCTTCCTGCTGACAGCCCTGTCACATGGGGGGCCTAACTTTCTACCTCCCAAATCTCCTCTGTACCAGCTGGGGGTGTTCCTTGTACAAGATTCCCATCAGCCCGACCAGCCTGGGACTCCCCGTGGACTCAGCCAAGGCCAGCAGCCTGGCCAAGTGCAAATCCCCATGTCCAAGAGCCTGTCTCCTTCATTGGTTCCCTTCCAGCTCCTGTCCCAGAGACGAGCAAGGCCACTGCCACAGTGGGTCCAGCTGGGGTGGGTAGGAGGTATGTCTGATTATCCACCTGCCTCCACCTGCTGCCTCCACCCTGTCCTCCCAAGGATTTCTTGGTTTCTGTACCTGAATGCTCATTTTCAGGAAGTTCTTGCTCAGAGCTAACCCCAGTCTCTCCTGTAGTGTCAGGTGTGTTTGGGTTTCTTTCTTTTTCTTTTTTTTTTTTTAATATTTATTTAGCTGTGTCAGGTCCTAGTTGCAGCCTGCAGGATCTTTCGTCGCAGCTCACAGACTCGTTTCGGCACACAAGTTCTAGGTATGCTTGGTTTTTGTTTGTCGCTAAGTTTGGCATGGAATTGACTTGCATTCCCTGGTGTCTCAGACTGTAAAGAATCTGCCTGTAATGCAGGAGACCTAGGTTCAATCCTTGGGTCGGGAAGATCCCCTGGAGAAGGGAATGGCAACCCACTCCAGTATGCTTGCCTGGGGAATCTCACAGGCAGAGGAGCCGGGTGGGCTATAGTCCATGGGATCACAAAGAGTGACTAACACTATCACTTTCACTCAAGCAGTAAGTGTTTTTGGTGGATTGGCTGTGTGCCTCAGCCATTGGATCATCTGCTGAGGGGTCAACTGTGGTCAGTTACATCATCCCAGGTCTAGATCTCAAGAATCTCCTGCCTTTGAGGGGCAGAGAAGGTAGACAGATGGATGGACAATGAATGGACCACCAAGGTAGAATGACACTGGGCCGAACAGAGTGACTAAGCAGAGTGCCAGCTGGTTAGACTTCTCACCGGAGGGAGCATGCTTCCTCCAGGTGAAACTTGTGAGCTGAGCACCAGCAGAGGATCAGGACATGGGGAATTGAGACCAGGGTGGTTCCAGAGGGTGGGAACATCCGGAGCAAAGGCACAGGACAGGGGTGGGGGAGAACTGGTTTAAGAAGATGCCCTTTATGTTTGGGGGAGGGTCAGCAGGCCGGTGTGGTTGGAATACAGGATGCCACAGGAGAGCTGTTGTGGACAGAGAGAAAAAAGAAGTGATGTGGAAGGTCCCATTTCAGCCAGACAGGAGTTTGTGGGGCGAGGGAGCAGAGTGGACTGGGAGGAATGCTCAAGTCGTCTTGCCACCTCCAGGCCTGGGACCCGTCACACTATCTAAACTGGTAACACCCCCTTCTATTTTTGCTTTCTTGTCAGCAGCAGTCATCACCGAGGCGCAGTGCATTTCCTGACCACTCTGCTGGGTTCCCTGCTCACCCCACCACCATTCACACGCGTGTGCACTAGTGTAGCAGCTCCACCAGGGCAGATTTGTGTCTGATTGTCCACAGCTGCATTCCCAGTGCCCAGACCTGTGCCCGGCACAGAGCAGGCAGATCTTTGCTGGCCAAATGGGTGCCTTTGCAGGCCCAGTGAGAGGTTGCATTGAGCAGGACACACTTCCCCTCCTGAGTAGTTTATAGCTGAGTGAAGGTGTTACAGCAGTGGAGGAACTTCTATGATTTGTGTTTTTTTTTTAAGAGATTTATTGTCAAAAAAAAAAAAAAAATTGTTGCTGCAAAAAAGAAAAAATGAAACAAAACCAAATCCAATTCCTATAATTACACAACCCAGAGATAACCTCTGTTAACATTTCAGGGAGTTACTTTAAAAATAGAAATTGTACTATTTACTATTAAAAAAAATTTTTTTTTTATTTGGCTGCATCGGGTCTTAGTGGCAGCAAGGACACAGAATCTCCATTATGGCATGTGGGTGCACAGGCTTCTCTCTAGTTGGGGCTCATGGGCTTTAAAGCTCGTGAGCACAGTAGTTGTGGCACACAGGCTTAGTTGCTCCTTGGCATTCAGGATCCTAGTTCCCTGAACAGGGTTCAAATCTTTGTTCCCTGCATGAAAAGGTGGATTCTTAACCACTGGACCACCAGGGAAGTCCCTGAGTTTACCATCTTGAAATCTGCTTTTCCCTTGTACCATTATGCATTCTTAGAACACAGTATTAATCTCATGCTATTCTGCTGTCTGGAGTTTGATAGTGTCATTATTTTTCTTTTTAATGGGTACTAGGCTGGGTGTGAGTGGAGAAGGAAATGGCAACCCATTCCAGTGTTCTTGCCTGGAGAATCCCAGGGACAGGGGCACCTGGTGGGCTGCCGTCTGTGGGGTTTAAAAAAAATTTTTTTTTTATTTGGCTGCATCGGGTCTTAGTGGCAGCAAGGACACAGAATCTCCATTATGGCATGTGGGTGCACAGGCTTCTCTCTAGTTGGGGCTCATGGGCTTTAAAGCTCGTGAGCACAGTAGTTGTGGCACACAGGCTTAGTTGCTCCTTGGCATTCAGGATCCTAGTTCCCTGAACAGGGTTCAAATCTTTGTTCCCTGCATGAAAAGGTGGATTCTTAACCACTGGACCACCAGGGAAGTCCCTGAGTTTACCATCTTGAAATCTGCTTTTCCCTTGTACCATTATGCATTCTTAGAACACAGTATTAATCTCATGCTATTCTGCTGTCTGGAGTTTGATAGTGTCATTATTTTTCTTTTTAATGGGTACTAGGCTGGGTGTGAGTGGAGAAGGAAATGGCAACCCATTCCAGTGTTCTTGCCTGGAGAATCCCAGGGACAGGGGCACCTGGTGGCCTGCCGTCTGTGGGGTTGCATAGAGTCGGACACGACTGAAGCGACGCAGCAGCAGCAGCAGGCTGGGTGTGGTGGTCACACAGGAGAAATCTCAGGAAAGATCTTAAACCTGACACCAGAGCTGAGTGCTAAAGGAGGAATAGGAGTCAGCCAAGTGAGAAAGGGGTAGGGAGAGGTTCAGGGTGTGAATGAGCTGACGTCTGTAGCAGACTCAGCAGAGAGGGTGGGGGCCTCCAGCCACTGGGTGCTACTGGAGCTTAAAGTTCAAGGCAAGAGCCAGGAGTGGCAGGAAATATGGGGGGGAGACAGTCAGGTGATGGACGGCCTCTGGTGCCCTGGTAAAGGCTTAGACTTTGCCCAGAAGGCAGCAGGGAGCCCTGCGGCCGTTAAGCATGACCAGATTTATAGTCTGTATAACTGGACCCTCCAGAGGGTAAGGGGAGGGGCCTCGCCTGAGGGGCGGGGCCTAGACAGAGTGGGCGGATCTGACTCTTGACCCCGCCTCTCTCTCCCCCTTCACTTTGCTTTGGTTGGGTGGGGAGAGACGCATACCCTTTTTTTTTTTTTTTGCCCTTCTTTCTTCCTTCCCGTCTGGCGCTTTCCCTTTCTCTTGTCTGGAATTAATTCTGAGGTCTGCAATCCCTGTGTTGGGGAAGTGTCAGTTCCAAACCCCAAACCAGAGGCAGCAGTGTGGGCTCCAGTTCCGGACCTTTTTTGGCGAAGGAAGAGGGAGGGCTGGGTGTTCTTGGTGGGGGTTGTAGAAGGCAGCAGGGCCCTGCCCCCAAGTGTCCTGAGGCCATTTCGCTGTTCCCGCGCAGTCTGACTCAAACCTGTGAGTGTGCAGCTGGGAGAATTTAGCTGTTAGTATTTTACTATTGTTAATAAGTCACTTCAGTCGTGTCCGACCGACTCTGTGCAACCCCATGGACAGCAGCCCACCAGGTTCCTCCACCCCTGGGATTCTCCAGTCAAGAATACTGGAGTGGGTTGCCATTTCCTTCTCCAATTGTTAATAATTAATGTAGCTACCCCACGCTTCTGGGGCACTTCATATTTTGCAAAGCACTTTCCAGAACAAGTCCTCATTCTCTCTTCACTACGACTTCCGGAGCGAGGGCAGGGCAGACATTTTGCAGTTGGGGGAGCCGAGGCCGAGAGGTGCGGAGACTTGCTGAAAGTCGCCTGAGTGGCGAGTGTGCGAGTGGGGACAGTGTGACCGCTGAGCAGGCCCGAAGGTCACGCCTCCTTTCTCCTCGAGCAGGTGGCCGCGCCTCCGGAGCCCGTGTACGCGAACGTAGAGAGGCAGCCTCCGGCCACATCGCCCCGCGCTGCCGCCGCCCCTCGCAGTGTGGGAGACTCGGTGTGGGAGACACACACGGACGCGGGCACCGGGCGCCCCTACTACTACAACCCGGAGACGGGCGTGACCACCTGGGAGTCGCCCTTCGAGGCTGCCGAGGGCGCCGCCAGCCCGGCCACGTCCCCGGCCTCGGTGGGCAGCCACGAGAGCCTCGAGACCGAGTGGGGCCAGTACTGGGATGAGGAGAGCCGCAGGGTGTTCTTCTACAACCCGCTGACGGGCGAGACGGCTTGGGAGGACGAGCTCGAGGACCAGCCGGAGGACGAGCAGGAGATGCAGCCGGGCCTGAGCCCTAGCAGCCCCAGGGACCAGAGGGTGAGGGGCGGGGCCTTGTCAGGATGGCGGGGCTGACTTTGAGGGCCTCTGACCCCGCCTCCTGCCCCCGCACAGCCCTGGGGTCCGAGAAGGAGGGGCCTTGGTCTTCGGTGGGTGGGGCTATCACTGCGGGCCTTTGACCCCGCCTCTCTCAACATGGGGGAACTAGGGTGGGGGGCGTGGCATGGGCCGAAAGGGCGGGGCGCCAGGTGTCACCCCTGGCTCTGAGAATTTCTGGCTCTTCTGCTCCTTGCAGCCCCCCACCCCCGAGACGGACTACCCCGATTTGCTGACCGGTTACCCAGAGGAAGACTATTCCCCCGTGGGCTCCCTCAGTGAGCCCGGCCCCGCCTCTCCCTTTGTCACACCCCCAGGCTGGTCTCGCCATGTGAGCCCAGATGGGCAGACGGTGTACACCAACAACATCACCGAAGAACAGGTAGGGGCAGCGGGCAGATGGGCGCAGACAGCCGTGGGGTCGCTCCCCTTACCACTCTATGCTGAAGTTCCTGTGCGGGCTCCATGCCAGCCCAAGACTGTGTGTCCCACGCCTGCCCCTCTAAACTCCTTGGGGCTCTGGAGGGAAACTTTTGTTCCCCTGTCCTGTGAGCTAAGCGGCCTGACCATCCCTCTCCCCACAGTGGGTGAGGCTGGAGAACCAACATGGGAAGCCTTACTTCTACAACCCAGATGACGCCTCCGTTCAGTGGACTCTGCCCCAGGTAACTACCTGGGGAAAGGAGAGTGCCTGGGAGAGAGGTGGGGGCTCAGTATGACAGTGTCTTTCTCCCCAGGTCCCAGTCCCCGTCCCTGCCCCTCGAAACATCCACAAATCCAACCAGGACAGTGAGACCCCAGCCCAGGCCACCCCCCCAGAAGAGAAGGTAAGGGAGGGGGCATGTAGGACCTGGCAGGACCCCACAGAAAAATTGGGGTGTTTCTGGAGGATCTACGATTAGGTCTGGAGGCACATCTCCACCATAAGCCCAAGTACTACCGTGGGCTAAAGGAACCTGGGTTCTGAGTTGTCCCAGGCTCAGAACTGGACAAGGCTGGGGGCTGGAAGGATGTCTCTGCTGCTGCTGGGGCTCCTGTGGGAGCAAGCACCCCCCACCACTGGCCAGATGCCAGCAAAGAGGGTTCAGTGGAGACTCAGGCCCAACCTGTAGGGAGCTGCTGGCTAAGAGGGAGAGTGGCTCCTCCCCTTAACTGCCTCCTCCTTCGCCCTCTTTCTCTAAGATCAAGACCCTGGACAAGGCAGGCGTGCTCCATCGCACCAAGATAGTGGACAAAGGAAAGCGGCTCCGGTGAGAGCTCAGCTGCCTCCAGACCCCAGGGTGGGCCTTAATGATGATGTTCACTGAGCACCTCTAGTATGCCAAGCTCTTAATAACCCTTTATGAGGTCCTGTGAGGACCCTGAGGCACAGAGACATGATTTGCCCAAGACCCCTTGACTACCAGGTGTTAGCCCTGGGAGTCCGCCTCTCATGGCTGGGTGCCCCAAGCTGTCTTCTTAAACTCTGTGCCCTGCTCCTGGGGGTGGAGGGGGGGGCCGCCTCAACCCAGGACCAACCCAAGCCCTGCCACCACTGCCGCTACCCAGGAAGAAGCACTGGAGCGCCTCCTGGACAGTGCTGGAGGGCGGAGTCCTGACTTTCTTCAAAGACTCGAAAAACTCAGCTGCCGGTGGCCTGGTAAGGCCCAGACCTCCAGGGCAGGGGCCACCCCATCTGCTCCTGACTCCTGAGCGGCTTTGCTTAATAAGGTTTGCCAAAGGCTAGGTCTGAGACCGTGGAATGTGAGAGTCCAGGGAGCTGGGCCTTGGCAGGGGGCAATGAGAGCAGGTCACCCCAGGACAAGCAGGTCCAGCCACATCGGGTGTGGGAACCAGTCCTTGAGGATGGGCAACTCCAGTCTGGTGGGCAGGGAAGCTGGAAACCGGACGTACCTGCTCGCAGAGATGGGACTGCACTCCTTTTTCCTTTCCTCTCCTAGGTGGGCAGAGAGCAAACAACCAGCCAGCCCCAGGCTCCATGGTTCTAGGAACTCTTGGGTCCCTTGCCTCCAGAGCCATGACCCCCGTTGTGCCTAGAGCCAAGGGAGCCTGGTGGATTGGAGCCAGGATGCTGTGACAGACCGGAGCTGAGCCGAGGGTGTCCTGAAACCATACTCCCTCCAACCCTTTTTCCCTTCTCCACAGAGGCAGCCTTCCAAGTTCTCTACCCCTGAGTTCACGGTGGACCTGAAGGGGGCCTCTCTCGCCTGGGCCCCCAAAGACAAATCCAGCAAGAAGAATGTGCTGGAGGTGAGTGGTGTGGGTGAGGAGAAGGAGAAGGAGCCTACTGATGGCTTGGGGCCCTCACTAAGCAAGCCCTGAGCAGGGGGACCCTGGCAGAGCTGGGGTTGGAATTCTCGGGGCTCAAAACCAAAGCTGCCCCCACCTTGGGGACCTGTCCACAGTGTTTCCAGGCATCAAGATTCTGCAGCTCCCTCTCCAGGAGTGGAGCTCCCTGGAGTCCTTTATCCCTGAGTAGGGGGTCCCTGGGGAATAACACTGTCATGCCTGGAAGGGCAGTCCTCATCCCACTGCTTTGGCCTGAGACAGACAGGAGATGCTGGGTCCCCCCTACTCAGGCTGATAGGCTGGGACACCTCCTCTGGCTGGTTAGAGCCCAGCTTCCAATCAGAAGTGAATAAACTAGGGCAGGACAGTGGACACATTTCTCAGGCTCCCCCTCAGGAAGAGAGGCCAGATGGGGCCCAGGCAAGACCCTCTCAGGCTATACCCTGCACTGTCCATGTGTTGTCTTGTTTTTAAACTACTCTTATCCTCATCTGGGCTTTTCCAGGTGGCACAGTGGTAAAGAATCTGCCTGCCAATGCAGGAGACATAAGAAATGTGGATTCGATCCCTGGATTGGGAAGATCCCCTAGAACAGGAAGTGGCAACCCACTCAAGTATTCTTGCCTGGAAAATTCCAGGGACAGAGAAGCCTGGTGGGCTACAGTCCATGGGGTCGCAAAGAGTCAGACATGACAGAAATTAAACAGGCTGGTTCAATCCCTGAGTCAGGAAGATCCCCTGGAGGAGGGCATGGCAACCCACTCCAGTATTGTTGCCTGGAGAATTCCATGGACAGAGGATCCTGGCAGGCTGCAGTTCGTGGGGTGTGACATGACTTAAGAACTAAACAACAACAATCCACAGAGCAACAGAGCACTTGTATCTGCTGAGCTCTGATCAGTAGGTCTGGAGCCTTCTCCAGACTTGACCGAGTAGAGCTCCACGATCGACTAGCTATGTCTGTTGTGAACATCAGATTGAGGAGGGACATCATATTTGAACTGGAGGGCAAGCCTTCAAACAGCGCTCTCTGAATGTCACCTCTCTGACTGGGTTTTTGATGAAAGTTTCAGAGTAGACACTTCTGAGTTGTCTTTTCTGGCAAAGACCAGAAGGCAGATGGTGCTCTTGGAAGCACCTCAAGCTGACAGGAAGGCTGACAGTCTGGAATGGAAATCCTGGAGTCCCCCGCTTCCCACTGGCTGGCAGTCACCTTCCCTCCACTCAGAGGTGGAAAGAAAGTGAAAGTGAAAGTCATTCAGTTGTGTCTGACTCTTTGTGACCCCATGGGTATACAGTCCATGGAATTCTCTAGGCCAGAATACTGGAGTGGGTAGCCTTTCCCTTCTCCAGGGGCTCTTCCCAACCCAGGTCTCCTGCATTGCGGGCAGATTCTTTACCAGTTGAGCCACAAGGGAAGCCCAAGAATACTGGAGTGAGTAGCCTAACCCTTCTCCAGAGGATCTTCCTGACCCAGGAATCGAACCGGGGTCTCCTGCATTGCAGGCAGATTCTTTATCAACTGAGCTATCAGGAAAGCCTGCCACCTATAGGCAACTTCAGATTTTTCTCAAGCATGTGTGCATGCTAAGTCACTTCAGTCGTGTCCAACTCTTTTCGACTCTATGGACTGTAGCCTATCAGGCTTCTCTGTCCATGGGATTCTTCAGGCAAGAATACTGGGCTGGGTTCCCATGTCTTCCTCCACAGGATCTTCCTGACCCAGATATAGAACTCTTTCATCTCACCTGCATTAATAGGCAGGTTCTTTACCACTAGTGCCTCCTGGGAAGCCCTTTTTCCGCCCTAAAAACTGTATCATCAAGATTGGCTAGTCTTCCGAGTTGTCCTAGCATCCCCTGACAATGGCTGGCTTGAGTTCTGCCTGCCTGTGCATTCAACAGAATGAATGTCTTGTACAATATACTGATACGTAACTAGACAGATTTGCCTTCCGTATGAAACTCGAATGTGAACTGATTGCCTCTTTTGAGACAGCTGCTGAAAAGAATGGCAATTGTTTTAGAAGCATTGTTAGGCCATTCGTTCTCTGGAATAACAAATAGGGCCCCTGTCAGTTTAGATTAGAATGAGGTTGTGCTCTCTGCCCACTGAAGGTTCTCTGGGCTTTGCAGGGAGGAGGATGGAGTAGAACATGCAGGTTTGTTTTGTTTTGCCTTTGAAAGCATTTTAAATTCCATTCAAGTCTAAGTTAAATAAGTAGACAGCCAAAGCACTGCGCTGAGTCTGGAAGCTATGAACTGTCTGAGACAGTTTTATCTATTTATTTATTTATTCAGCTGTGTCGAGTCTTGGTTACAGCACACAGGTTCTTTGTTGTGTCATATTGGATCTTTCATTGCGGTGCATGGACTCTCTGGTTGGGGTGCATGGGCTTAGTTGCTCTGCTGCATGGGGGAATCTTAGTACCCAGACCAGGGATCCAACTGGTGTCTGCTGCATTCAAGGCACATTCTTAACTGGACCACCAGGGAAGACCCTCAGTTTTTGCTGACTCTGACTCTCACAGGACCCAAAGGCATGGCTGGTATGAGCTGCCGCAACCAACCATTCCCATCCATCTTGAAGGCTTGGTTCTCAGAGCCAGAGGCTGAGGAGAGATCCATCCAAGTTAGCCTTGTTCTTTGTAGACTTTGTTACAGAAACAGCAGTCAACTGATAAAGAGCCCAGGTTGTTAATATCTGCTTGCAACTCAATAGTATAGAGTAGTGGCTTTGGAGCCTGCCACATGGAGTTCCTTTCATTGATTTTTTTGCTGGCTGGTGTTCTGGGTAGGCCTCCCATGGGGAGGCAGGATGGGGTAAGGGAAGGCACACCAGATGGCTAAGCCATGCAGTTCTGCTGCACTCAGATCCTCACTCCGTCAGTCACTAGCTGTGTGTCCACAAGGAAGTTGCTTAAACTCACTGAGCCTGTTTGCTCATCTGTAACACAGAGATGCTGTTACCTACTTCTTTAAGGAGGTGGAATATCTTGGCTTGGGGAAAGGCCCTGGCTCTATTAGTCTCTGAGTTCCTGGGGACAGGAATAGATCACCTCTACCCCTGTATCCCCCTTGGGGCCTAGCCCTGGGGCAGGCCCAGGAAACCAGAGATGACTGAGTGACTTGTGTCCCACCAGCTTCAGACCCGAGATGGCTCAGAATACCTGATCCAGCATGACTCGGAGGCCATCATCAGCACCTGGCACAGTGCCATCATCCAGGGCATCCAGGAGATGGTAGGCAGAGCTGGGGACTGCCAGGGCTGGTGGGGAGGGGATGGCCAGCCATTATGCAGGGCAGCTGCCCACTGTGGGTGGGGCCCTCCACTTGGGTACTGGGAGTTCCATGACACTGGTAGGTAAGTAGTCCTCTCTGCAGATGCAGATGGGCTGCTGAAGAAACAGCCTTTCTTAAGTAAGTGAATCCAGCCCCTGGGATTGGCCCTACGGGAGGCCTGTCCAGGTGAACGTATCCTAGAGTAGTGACCCATTCCACACTGAGGCAGGAGAAAAGTAAATACTCTGGTAAACAACTTCAAGCTGGAGAGAAAGGCTGAAACCAGAAGACATCACTTAAAAGGACTGAATTGATGGGTCTACCATTTTTTAAAATTCAATATAGCAATTGCATAAGTAGAGATGGGACAGGCCCATTCTGACAGCTCTTCACCTGGAAACAGCCTGGGGCTTTTTGATCCTTAATTCCCTATTAAGGAAAAGGCAACACTGGATGTCCTGCTTGCCTGTATTAATAATGGTAGGAATCCAGATCCAGAGAGGTGATGCTGGTGAGATGGTTGGCAGTGCTCTGGTCCCAGCTCACACTGCAAACTTAAACTGGGAGCCACGTATTGTGAAATGCTGACCTAGTGGAGTGTGTACAGAGGAGCTAAGGAAAATGATGGTGAAAGGGGGCCAGGAACCAGGAGGTGGGTAGGGGTAGTCAGGATGAGAAAAGGTGGGGGAGAACAGGATGCCTGACTCCAACACCTGGAGGGCTCCATGCAGCTAAGGGGGATGGGGGGCGTGAATGGGGTTCCTTGATGGAAGTAAAGCTGAGTTGACCTTGATAAGGGAACAGAGAACTCTGCCTAGGGGTCTTCAGTCCAAGTCTGCTGGGAGGGCATCTCAGTTCCTCACCCCATCCCAGGATTCCCCACCCCTGCGCCCACCAGTTGGCCCCAAACTCTGCCTCTCTGAGACTGTGTGATTCTAGTCCGCAGACCTGCCTCCCGAGGAGGAAAGTGAGAGCAGCGGCGTGGACTTTGGGTCCAGTGAGCGCCTAGGAAGCTGGCGGGAGGATGAGCCACGGCCTGGTGCAGGTGTGCTTGGGCGGGAGTGAGGCGGGTGGAAGCGGATGGCAGACATCCTTTAGGGGAGCGGCGACCACCCGGCTGGGGCTGCAGGCCGGCCGACCAGCCGTGGTGCCAACGACTGACCCAGCCCTCGCGTTCCCATTGGCGTTGGGCAGCGCCGCCCACCCCGGGGCCCGGAGGCCTGGAGAGTGACATCAGCAAGGTCCGGCAGAAGCTCCGCAAGTTCCTGCTGAGGCGGCCCACGCTGCAGTCGCTGCGGGAAAAGGGCTACATCAAAGGTACCCGAGGGACCCGGAGAGCGGGGCGCCGGTGGCCCAGGGGCGAGGCGGCGCTGACGAGCCTCTCCCCCAGACCAGGTGTTCGGCTGTCCGCTGGCCGAGCTGTGTGAGCGCGAGAAGAGCCTAGTGCCGCGCTTCGTGCAACAGAGCATCCGCGCCGTCGAGGCCCGGGGTATGTAACCGCGCCCGGCCCGGCATTCCCGGAGCCCGAAGGCCTCCTTCCAGAACCCCAGACGGGGACCTCCAGGGAGCGGGTGGGGCGCAGGGTCGAGGGGGAAAGAACGAGAGCTTCTGAGCAGGAATCAGAGCAAGGGCTTTAGCGCCCGCCCACAGAACCCGGGGTCAGCGCCTCCCTCCGCTCCAGGGCTGGACATCGACGGTCTGTACCGCATCAGTGGAAATCTGGCCACCATCCAGAAGCTGCGCTATAAGGTGGACCACGGTGAGGCCCGCCCCCTGGCTCTGCCCCAGGCCTGAAGGCGCTTGAAGGGATGAGCTGACCTCTTCTTCCCTCCCCTCTACCCGCCAACCCCCCGCCGCAGATGAACGTCTGGACCTGGAAGACGGGCGCTGGGAGGACGTTCATGTTATCACCGGCGCCCTGAAGCTTTTCTTTCGAGAGCTGCCCGAGCCCCTCTTCCCCTTCTCACACTTCCGCCAGTTCCTCGCGGCCATCAGTGAGCGCATGGGGGAGGTGGGGCGGATGGGGTACGGGTGGGGCTGGGCTGCCTTACAAACGCTCCTGCGGTGACCAGGCCCCCCTCCCCCAAATACTGAAGTCAGCGCCCTCTGTTTCCTCCCCCCACCCGTCCCTTGCCCAGAGCTGCAGGATCCAGCCAAGCGTTTCCGCTGTGTGCGGGACCTGGTGCGTTCGCTGCCCGCCCCCAATCACGACACGCTGCGGGCGCTCTTTCAGCATCTGTGCCGGTGAGCGCGGGGAGCTGCGCGGGAATGGGCAGGCGGGCCTGAGGGGACCCTACCCCTCTCCCCCCCAGCTCTGGGCCCTGATTCCAACCCCATCACCCCCGCTGCAGGGTGATCGAGCACGGAGAACGGAACCGCATGTCCGTGCAGAACGTGGCCATAGTCTTCGGGCCCACGCTGCTGCGGCCCGAGACGGAGGAAGCCAGCATGCCCATGACCATGGTGTTCCAGAACCAGGTGGTAGAGCTCATCCTACAGCAGTGCTCGGACATCTTCCCGCCGCCCTGACCGCGGGCCCCCAGCCCCACCCCCGCCGCTGAACCTGGGAGTGGGGGCGGTGACAGTGGGCCTGCATGGGCAGCTGGAGGCCACGCGGCTGGACTGTTGATCTCTGAGACCTCCGCCTCCCTCCAGACCGTAGGCGGGTGCGAATTCTGCACCCCCTCGGTTCTGAGGCTATGGTGACCCCTGGTGGGCAGTTCGCAAACTGTGCTCCCGCCCTCCCCCGGAGTTGGCCTGTTCGTAGGTTAATTGGGGTCTGTCCTTTACCACAGCTCCACCTACTGGGCACGTCCGAGAATGCAGGGTTGGGGGCGAGTTTTCTGGGACAGCAGCTGATGCCGGGCGGAAATGGCTGAGGGCCTTCCTGGCTTCGTTAGGCCTGCACCTGGTGGAGGCCTTCACGGACACCCTGCGGGTCCCCGGCCCTGTGCGTGGCACTGTGCTATCATGAAGCAGCAAGCGACAGCTTCCCTGCTGCGGAAACAGGACTGATCCGGGCCTCCAGTGGGCGGCTGAACTTGCCTTTCCCCAGGTCTCTGGGCTCCTGCTGGGCTTAGCCACAGGCTGACTGGGCACCATTTTCATCCCCTTCTCAGTTGGAGTTCTGGGTCTCTGCCTTCCCTTGATCCACTTTGTGCTCTGTGCGAGGGTTCTTCCTGGTCACTAAATGTGTACCCTGCTCCTGCCACTTGACACACACCATTTCTACTCACAATCCCATTTTACAGATGAGGAAACTGAGGCTAACAGAGGCAAAGTGACTTGTTCAGGGTCTGGTGGGTGATTGGACTCCCCAGCTCAGCCTTCTGTCACACCAGAGCACAGCTTCCTGTGAAGGTGACACCAGCCTTTTCAGCTAACCCCGCATCCCCCCCCCCCACCAGCATGGCCTTATGGGTAAAGCAGTGAAACTAGGCTGGTGGGCTCTGTCTGAGACGCTCCTTGAGGGCAGAGAGGGAGTCTGCCCTAGCCGTTCTTCTCTGGGGGGAGGCGTGATGGCACTGGCAGGAGCTATCCTAGCCCGCTCACTGCCCTCCCTGACAGGCATGCCTCCCTGGTGCCCACCTGGTGAAGAACTGGGGAGAGAAACCTGCAGGGTAGGGGGAAGGCAGGCACGACCTCAGGAAAGGAAGTGTGAACCCAACCCCGGTGTCATCGGCCCCGCTTCCCTTCTTAGACACAAACCACCTCAGGTTATGGGTCTCAGCCTCCTTCCCCCGCTCACCCGTTGATGCGTTCAAACAACAGAAGCTAATATTTATTGACATTTGTACCAAGCCAAGCATCCTACTTGGATTACCTCCCTCGTTTCTCACAGCCAATATTTATTATCTGCTCTTCTGTGCCAGGCACTGTGCTCTGGGGCAGGGGTACCGCACTCTGCCTCCCTGGTGGAACTTCTGGCCTGGTGGGCGGGACTGACCCAAGCCCACTCCTACTGCCAGCAGGCCTGGGGCAAGAGTACAGATGGAGGCTTCATATCATACGTCAACATGCTGTAAAGTTATAAATCAAGCTGAATCAATAAAATGTGTTCTATTCTCCTACTTTGTCATTGGTTTTTTTTTTTTGGCCGTGCTGCATCTTCACTGCTGTGCTCCGGCTCTCTAGTTGTAGAGAGCGGGGCCTGCTCTCTAGTTGCGGTGCACAGGCTTCTCACTGCAGTGTCTGCTCTTGTGGCCGAGCACAGGCTCTGCAGCATGCGGACTCAGTAGTTGTGGCGCCCGAGCTTAGTTGCCCTATGGCATCTTCCCAGACCAGGGATCGAACCCATGTCCCCTGCATTGGCAGGTGGTTTCTTAACCACTGGACCACCAGGGATGTCGTAATTCTTCTACTCTGACAAATAGATTTTCACAGTGACCTGGAAAACCAGGTTCTAACGTTAACTTCTTTGGCTCTGCTCTCAACCCAGCCTCACCCCTAATCTTCCCACCCTCTGGGCACCCTGGCCCAAGGAGAGGGACACACATGTGGATATTCCAACTACGAGTACAAACTGCTGTTCCCTGGTCGCCCCACACAGTCCACTCTCTGAGGGAAGAGACATGGGGTCTCAATGTCAGGAGCATGGTCTAAAGGGATGGGCCTGGGCTCTAAGGGGACCCCACAGATTCCTCATCCTGGGTGGAGAGGCACAGAGAATGTCCAGAATTGTTCAGTTGCCATCATGTCCGACTCTGCAACCCCATGGACTGCAGCACGCCAGTCTTCCCTGTCCCTCACCATCACCCAGAGTTTGCCCAAGTTCATGTCCATTAATCCATGATGCCATCCAACCATCTCATCTTCTCTTGCCCCTCTCTCCTCCTACCCTCAGTCCTTCCCAGCATCAGTATCTTTTCCAGTGAGTTGGCTATTTGCATCAGGTAACCAAAGTATTGGAATGTCAGCTTCAGCATTAGTCCTTCCAGTGAGTATTCAGGGTTGATTTCCTTTAAGATTGACTGGTTGATCTCCTTGCTGTCCAAGGAACTTTCAGGAGTCTTCTCCAGTACCACAGTAGAACCGTCTGAAGTGAGACCCATGTCAGGGCAGGGACCCCCTCTCACAGGTCTAAGGGCAGAACTAGATGGATATTAAGCACCGAACTATTTGGCTAAGCATGTTTTTATGGGAGCTGGGAAATGTGCAGGGTGCTCTGAAGGCGTGTCACTGGGGTGTGACCATCCCCCAGAGGCCCAAGATGCCTTCACGGAAGTCACATCTGACCAAGCACTAGAGAACAAGGAGGACTCAGCAGGTTGAGGAAGTCAGGGAAGGGTGTCTAGTCAGAGGGAACAGCATGAGCAAAGGCTCTGAGGCAGGGAGGCTTGTGAGGAGAACAAAATCTGAGCGAAGACTACGGTGACCGAAGCCCACAAAGCCAGGGGCATGGGTGGAAGGTGAGGCTGGAGAGGCCGGCAGAGGGCAGAGTGCTCAGGGCCTTGGGACCACGATGGAGGGGGACCTGTGGCAGGGCAGTGGGAGGAGGACCTGGGGCAGGAAGGTCTTGGGAAGTGTCAGCTCCCAACCCCAGCCCACCCCTGTGGGCTGGGTTTTTGACCCTGCCAGGAGTTTGGCGGGTGATCAGTAATGTAGCCACAGACACAGAAGTCCCGAAATCATCACAGTCTATCACATGTTATCAGAAAGCACTACTGTGAGGACTTCCCTGGTGGTCCATTGGTTAAGACTTCAAGCTCCCCATGCAGGAGACCCGGGTTCCATCCTTAGGGAACTAGGTTCTGCGTACTGCAACTAAAAGATCCTGCATGCTGCAACTAAGACTTGGTGCCAAATAAATTAATATTTTTAAAAAGAAAGAGAAAGAAGGAAAAAAATTACCTACTACCAATGAGCAAACTCCTGGAGAGATGTCATAACTCACCTGAGGTCACAGGGCAGGTTGGTGGCAGAGCTTCATGTACACGGTCTGAGCATCTACTGTGAGCCCACCAGAAGTCTGAGCTCAGTCATAAACCCTCCACTGCAAGCCAGAAGGTATACAGTGAATACATTTGAGATGAGTTGGATTTTGTCTGGAGACACAAAGATANCGGTCTGAGCATCTACTGTGAGCCCACCAGAAGTCTGAGCTCAGTCATAAACCCTCCACTGCAAGCCAGAAGGTATACAGTGAATACATTTGAGATGAGTTGGATTTTGTCTGGAGACACAAAGATAAATAGAAATAGTATCTGCTGTCTTGAAGTGCCATCTGGTCGGGGGACAGACAAAAATAAGTGAGGGTAGCACAGCTGATAAGGGCTGTCACAGGGGGCCCCCTCCCCAAGTCTCTCTCTCCCTCTCAGCAGAAGCCCCAGGTCCTCTGACAGCCGGGCGTCTGCCCTAATGCTGCCCTAGAAACAGCCTCTGGTTCCTGCCTGGATGCTAAGTCCGGTGGTCATGCCCAGCTCTCATGTGAATGGACTTCTGAACTGCCTGTCATCCTAGAGATACACCATCGTTTGCTCGAAGCAACATGAGTCTTTGCCCAGCCTGTAAATGTCCCCTGCCCACCGCTCTCTCTCTCCACCCTCCCTGACGATCCTCATCCAATCCACTCTGGGGACTCAGTCACGAAGCCAGCAAGTGCATCACTCAGATCTCTGTCAGCAGCCCAAAGTGCTCTTTCTGAGTTCCAAGTGCAAATGTCCACCCACATCGGTGCCTGCCAGGCACCCCAAGTGCAGCCTGCCTGCAACAAAACTGACACCAGCCCCTCCCCTTATTTCAGGGCACAGCACCTCCAAGCACCCGAGGCGCCTCACCCTCCGTAACCAGTCAGCCACCAAGTCCCTATCTTCTTCCTTCTAAATATTTCCCAACTCCGCCTCTCCCACCTCCACTCCACCTCTCATCCGGACGGGCTCCTTCCCTTCCTGTTCCATCCTCCCCTTAGCCATCTGACCAAGATCCCTGAGGCCTTTCCCAGCCATACCTCCTACCTCTGCACACCTCTGTGCCCATGGGTGTAGCTCCCAGCCCACTCCAGAATGTTCCTTGCCTCCCTGCCTTTGGCCCCCAGTCTCCCGTCTTCCTCCTCGTCCCCTGGCTAACTCCTCTTCCTCCTGCCAGCCTCAGCTCACACCTGCCCCCACCCCCTTTCTCAGATCTCAGACCTCTTCTCAGATCATACAGGCCTTTCTCTCTCATCACACTTGCCTCCCTGTGATGTACCTGTGCCTCCGTGTCCTCGTCGTTCCCACTAGGCTACGGGCTACATGTTTTCAAGATTCATCCATATAGCCCCTGGCTACATGGGCTACATCGTGTTCCAAATAACATTCCACTGTACAGATTTTGTTGTTGTTCAGTTGCTAGGTCGCGTCCGACTCTTTGCGACCCTATGGACTGCAGCACGCCAGGCTTCCCTGTTCTTCACCATCTCCTGGAATTTGCTCAAATTCGCATCCACTGAGTCGATGATGCTATCCAACCATTTCATCCTCTGTTGCCCTCTTATCCTCCTGTCCTCAGTCTTTCCCACCATCAGGGTTTTTTCCAATGAATTGGCTTTTCTCATCAGGTGGCCACAGTGTTGGATTTTCAGCAACAGTCCTTCCAATGAATATTCAGGGTTGATTTCCCTTAGGATTGACTGGTTTGATCTCTTTGCAGTCCAAGGGACTCTCAAGAGTCTTCTCCAATACCACAGTTCTAAAGCATCAATTCTTCAGTGCTCAGCCTTCTTTATGGTCCAACTCTCACATCCGTACATGACTACTGAAAAAAACATGTGTGTGACATTTTTTTTTCTCCACTCACTAATTGATGGACATTTGGATTGTTTCCATTTGGGGGCTGTTATGAATAATACTGCTGTGAACATTCAGGCATGAGTTTTTAATGTGGAAATACTGTCTTAGTCAGCTTGGGCTTCTATAACAAAATAACATAGACTGGGTAGCTTCAATAACAGAAATCATTTCTCTCAGTTCTGAAGACTGGAAGCCTGAGATCAGGGTGCCAGCACAGTGGGGTTGTGGTGAGGGCTCTCTTTCTGGCTTGCAGTTGGCTGCCTTCTTGCTGTGTCTGTATATAGCAGAGAGACGGACAGGGAGGGAGGGAGAGAGAGAAAGTTCATCTCTTCCTCTTTGCTTTTTCTTTTTTTGAGTCAAAAAAATTCAAAATAAAGAGTAAAAAGTATTCATTCATTTATCAAATATTTTGGGGGGTAAACTTAACAATAGCCAAGCACTGACTACCATTGGCCAGTTTCATTTTCAAGTCTTGAAGATGAAGTCTTGAGAATTCATTCTGGTTATCTTCTGCTGCACTGTAAAATGGGAACCAGCCAACTCACTATAATGTCTCACTCAATATCCTTAAAAACTTACATTGCATTGTCTGAAAACATAATTTATTTCAGCTTCAGTTTTATGAATTTATCTATAATAGGAATCAACCAATTAATTATAGTACATGTGATTCAATTGAAAAGTTATAATCAAGCTTTTTGTGGCATAGTTCTATAGTGAAGAAAATTAATGCATTTTAAGGCCAAATTTAGCTTCCCAGGTAGCTCAGTTGGCAAAGAATCCGCCTGCAATGCAGGAGACTGTGATTCAATTCCTAAGTTGGGCAGTTCCACTGGAGAAGGGATAGGCTACCCACTCCAGTATTCTTGGGCTTCCCTGGTGGCTCAGATGGTAAAAAATCCACCTGTAATATAGGAGACCTGGATTCGATCCCTAGGTTGGGAAGATCCCCTGGAGGAGGGCATGGCAACCCATTCCACTGTTCTTGCCTGGAGAATCCCCATGGACAGAGGAGCCTGGTGGGCTACAGTCCATGGGGTCACAGAGAGTCAGACAGAGCTGAGCACAGCACAGGGCCAAATTTATCAGTTTGTTTATTTTAAAAATGATTCTGGTAATGGCTTTCTTTTTTTAATTATTTTATATTGGACTCTAGTTGATCTACAATGTTGGGTTAGTTTCAAATGTACTCATCTCTTCCTCTTCTTCTTTTTTTTTTCCTGGTCCTTTTCTTTCTTTTTTTTTCCCCCCATTTATTTTTATTAGTTGGAGGCTAATTACTTTACAATATTGTTGTGCCTTTTGTCATACATTGACATGAATCAGCCATGTCTTCCTCTTCTTATCAAGACACTAATCCCATCCTGAGGCCCCACCCTCATGATCTCATCTAACCTAATTACCTCTCAATGGCCCCGCCTCCAAACACCGTCACATGGAGAGTTAGAACTTCAACACATGACTTAGGGAGGGACACAGTCGGTTCATAGGAATATGTCTCACTCTCTTCCATATATACTTAGGAATGGAACTGCTAGATCATACAGTAACTATGTTTAGCTTTTTGAGGAACTGTTAACTGCAGTTTTGGTCAAACTCTGGTTTTCTCCGCTGATTGCATCATTGTACATTCCCAACCTGCAACGTGGGAGGTTTCTGTTCTCTATCGCCTGCTGTGACATCTGTCTGAAGCCTTCATTCTCCCCAGCCCCCTGCCCCCACTCTCTCTCGCTCAACAGGTGACCTCACTACGTCACAGAAAAGATGGGAACCCTTGTACATCCCACCATCAAGCTCGGAGCTCCCTCACCACAGCCCCCCTCACCTCCTTGCCCCTGATACCTCAGAGCAGACCTCTCTCCAGGGTACAGCTCATCTCCGGCCTTTGTTTCAGAGAGTGTCCCCGATCACTGGCCATTTCCTCTCTTCTGCTTTTAATTGCTGTCTCGGGTTGAGTTCTGCAGGATACGGAGAGAAGCCTGTAGGCAGTTAACTGGGGGGCGTTCAAGGATTGTGTGGGATAAAGGCGGTGGCAGGGCTGGACCAAGGGAAAAGCTGAACTGTGATGCAGGCCCATCTCAGGCCTCAGCCAACCCCGCAGGAAACTGAGGCTGGGACACGCTCAGCAAGGCCCCCCATTGTGGCAACGAGGCCAGGACTGTAAAAGGCCTTATCTACCAGTCATTGGATCAAGGCTGCTTCGGACAACTGGGGGAGGTGGGGCTGGCAGTGGGGTGCATGAATTTGAGCAAAGAGGTCTCTATAGCTCAGGGCTCATCCCAGAGACAGGCTCAGATGAGAGCTCTCAGCTGCCAACCTTCTTGAAGCTGGGGCAATTAGTACTTCAGTCCTGGAGGGGCACCTGAGTGGTGCCACAGCATCCAGCTGGTTCCTTCCTCTCCATTTGCAGTCCTCGCTCACTCTTCCAGGCTTTCCTGGTGGCTCAGACCGTAAAGAATCTTCCTGCAAGGCTGGAGACCTGGGTTCGATCCCTAGGTCAAGGAAGATCCCCTGGAGAAGGGAATGGTAATCCACTCTAGTATTCCTGCCTGGAGAATCCCACGGACGGAGGAGCCTGGCGGTCTACAGTCCATGGGGTCACAAGGAGTCGGAGTGGCCTGAGTGCAGTTCTGTTCTCCGCTTGCTCAGTCCTCTTTTAGCATTCTGTTTAAGCAACCCTTCCTCAGGCAGCTCCTCTGAATGTCCAGCTCAGTCAGTTTTCTTGGTTTATACCATTGGAGACCCATGTGCCTCTCTTATCTCAGTTTGGCATTTTACAACCATATATCATGATTATTTATTGTTATCTACGCCCAGTAGCACTAGTGGTAAAGAACCCGCCTGCCAGTACAGGAGATAAAAAGAGAGGCAGCTTCGATCCCTGGGTTGGGAAGATACCCTGGAGGGGGCATGGCAACCTACTCCAGTACTCTTGTCTGGAGACTCCCTTGGACAGAGGAGTCTGGCAGGGCTACAGTTCACAGGGTCACAAAAGAGTTGGATATGACTTAGCGACTTCACACGCACCCCCCGCCATGATACTGTAAGCCCCAGGAGGGTGAGGACTCTGTTATTGCTCACCTGTGTATGCCTGGCACCTAGCATAGTGCCTGGCACGTGATAGGTATTCAGTAGATACTCATTAATGAACCAATCCATGAAAAGGTAGAGAATCAGAGTTCAAGACCCAGCTCTCATTTCCCATCAAGGGACCTTGGCCAGGTTGTACAGCTCCATGTGCTCATATGAACAGTCAGGACATTCACACTGAC